ACGTGTACATTAGCTATACAGAATGAATGAAATGGTAGAACTAAAAAAAACAGGAAACTCAAGATGTTCTCTAGAAGTAACAAAAATGATCTGGATTACAAAAGATACACCAGCAAAACATCTTAAGTTGTTGTTAGGAGAAAGTCGCCCAATGATGCTCTGGATCTGCAGAGGAAGGATCATACTGCAGTAAAGGAGGATAGGCAGAGGGCTGGTGTGACAGAAGAGCAGCAGATCTGCCAAGACGATGGCTAATGGAAGCTTTTTAACGGGCAATAAAGTCAGTGATGCCCATGTTTTAAAGACAATCTTGTTGCAGTTTAGCTTTTGAATGGAGACAGGATAACAGAGTCTGTTGATATAAACATAAAGCATATTTGGACTTTCCCACATCAGCGCCTTAAACCTTGAGCTTTGAAACAGATCCACTCTTGTGTTAATATTTCTCAACAGGTGGTGCTTTAAGAGACTAATTGTATAGATTGTGGCTTTTGTAAATCAAATTTGTTGACAACTATGATTATAAAGATTGATTCATGTGCTGAATACCTTAATCCAGAATAAACCCCTATAATAAGTGCATAGGGAAATTAATCTGCTAATAACTTTCTACAGTACGGTTAACAGCACTTATAAGACCCTGAAAAGAGCTAAGCAACAATGACTGAAATAATTCTACTTATGGCCCCATGCGATAAATAGTGAATGCATATTTGATCTTAGATACAGGTTGATATAAAGGCTGAATTCATTCTGTTCAGAACTGGAAAGGTGAAACACTGACAGTGAAACTAAATGGTAAGAAGTGTGAATTCAGATAAGGCCGATTCTGTCAATCATCTTCATGGGTTAAAAAAAATTGCTGGTGAGTAAAAAATGAGCTACTCCATCAAAACACTTGAGTACGTCTCAGTTGGTACATGTGACTTTCCTAATTAAATGTGTTCACCATCTGGAACACCTTTAAAGGAAAAACAAGTCACTCTCTTGATTAGCTGTAAAGTCACTTAAGGTGAGCAGGTGATGTGATAAATGGACTCCACTTAAACACTTTTATAGTCATGAAATCGCTCAAAGTGTTCATGTCACATTCACTCAGTTACACTGACAAAACTTAACAGCTGATACACAGATCAGTGAGCTACTTGAGGGTTAGGGCTTTGCTCAAGGGCACATCAACATAAGGAAGGAGAGGCTGGAATCAAACTCACAAACTGCCTCAGTCGTCACAAT